ATTCTAGCTACAACTTCATTCATAAATCATGCTAGGTCAATGATGACTAACCTTTTTGGGCTCCCATGCAAAAATTGCACTCGTGCGCCAGCACCCAAAAGGCAATGCACACGCCCCCCTCACCCCTCGCACATGCGACCCCCCTGTGCATGCACCATGCATCTCTGCACATATCCCCCCATGCGCTGTGCGTCTCTGCACATGTGTGCACATTTCCCGCAAACCCCTGCCCCCCGTGCATGCATGCCAGATACCTGACAATCAGCTGTCAGACGGATGGCGTGCGCGCATGCACAGTAGACCTGCTGTGGGCAAGGGCTCGCGTGCCAGCAATAATGGTTTTGCATGCCACTTCCGGCATGCATGCCATATGTTTGCCATCATGGTGCTAGGCCTTAGTTTGCTTTAGCAATGATTGATGGCCAAGAAAACTGCATATATGAGTCAGTTGTATCATCAAGAGCCAAATATGACTGAAAAGAAACATTACCTTTTAAGCCATAAAGCCTGGTTTATAAACTAGAGTACCTGGTTTGCTACATTAAGTTAAACCAAAAGCAAACATAAGCATTAAAGTAGGAACCCAGCCAGTGGATTCTGCTTTAAGCAATGGAGGGAAGCACACGTAATAGGTGCTCTGAACCCCTGGAAAAAAGAGAAATGCACACTTTTCAGTAGTTTTCAGGAAGCTCTATTTTTCAATAGTTATAAATTGATGGCTTTGGTCAAAATAAAATTAATTGGATTAAGACCCAGATTCCTGCTTGATACTTCTTTCTCTCATCCGGAAATCATTGCTTCAGTTAATTATTAATGAATGTAATGAAGGCTACGAGGCTGACAGACAACCCAAACCAACTGTTCTGACAGATGAGGCAGATCAAACACTAAGTCCACTGTGGAAAGAGGCACCTTGTCTGGTCCTGTTAGGGGAGGCAAAGGAAGGATTCTTCCTGGTTTAGCTGGGTGCGCACATGTCCTTTAAAGAAACGACAGGGATGGAGCACACAAGTATGAATATACAATCTTGCACATTGAGTATCTGGAGGGGTAGGGAAGCACCAGTCTACCAGATGTTGAGATGTCCACCAATTTTCAGCACATCACACCATATGGCTGTTGATATTACTGGAAATTAGAATTCAGCAACATCTTGAAGGCTTCAGAATCCTCTCTCATCTGTATAATGATTTAGATAATTTATCAAGGATTGGCAATAGAATGATACACTTTGGAATGCTCCAAGCAACCCCCTTCTGATTTATCATCTTTTTTTCTGCCCTAGTGCACAATTTTGTCCCCACCCCAACCTGTCAATTCCCTTCCTCATGTTGGTTCTTTTTTTAATTGCATAATGATTCACACTCTGAGCATGGATGCAAATAATATTTATATATTGAAATTTTAGTCAGTTGTTTATTGATAAACATGCCGAATCATATTTTGTTACCCTCAAAATTTCAGTCTGGTCTTAATTTATACCTTACATCTCAGTAAGATTTGTGGTTGCTGGGATATTGCAAGTAGAATTGTACGTACAATTTTCCAATTATGACCAAACTTCACTTAAGAAAATATGAGCTGTTTCACGTATGACAGTACCATTATTTGTTTGATTGGACTTTGACTTAGTACGCTATATGAATATAGATATTGAAATTTGTTAACTACAGTTATGGTTTAGCATGCTAAGTAAACCAAACTGTGATTTATTCAATAAACCATAGTCAAACAATAATGGATTTTGCCAGGTCTCTTATAGACTTGATTCATGTGTCATACATGAACCAGGTATATGAGACCATTGCACAAACATATTCAAGAGATTCTAGACAAAAACAAATGAATGTTAACACATGTACCATTTCACACATTCATATTGCCATTTCTTTTTTGAATCTTATGAACTACAAGTTGGTTCTCTTGCCAAATAAGAGCAGTTAGCTCTTTTTCCATTCTGTACAGTAAAAGAAAACAAACAGCAAATGTCCTCTTTTCACTGAGTCAGCTGAGTTGAAATACCATTTTTCTCCACCTCCTCCTTTGGGTAAAGAATAACCAATTTAACATTCCCTGAAGGAAAAACGTGCTTGTTTTCCACATTCCTTCTCATTCCTTTCAAATCACATCATCTACCAAACATACAGGATCACAACTTATACTATGAAATCATACAGTTGCCTAAATTCTCCCAGGCAGTGGGGAAGGTGTTAGTTTGGGGCTCTAGCGTGTGTGTCTAGTTTTTGGTTCTATTGAACATTGATTCAGTTTTAGATGCTCTTTGTTTTTATGTAATTGTTTTTGTTTGCTTATTGTGCAGAGTTCTTAGATAGGTGGATGGCTACATATATTGTAATAATAATAGTGTACTGTAGAACCACCAATTTGATATCCTACATTCCTGTAGCTGCAAGCAAAAAATAGATGGGTTTTCACATCACCCTAAATAGGTTCACTCTTCTAAGCCATGCACCACAATGGCTCGTAGTAATGTTGTACACATTTAGCTGCTGCAAACCACAACGGCTATACGCAAACATTGAACAAACCACTTTACTGAGTCAATGGCTTGAGTAAACCATGCCCATAAATCTTACGTTTTTATCTCTGTATGGTATTTGGAAGATGCTGGGGTTTTCATGAGCTTATACACATGCAAGTTCCTCTCCTGTCACACATAAACATGTATATAGATCATATTATGGATTTTGAAAAACATTATTCCAGATGAGTCCGCTTGAGCAGATGGTAACAGGGGACGTTTGGGAATTCTCAGCTGCAATTCACCAGGCAATGGACAAAAGGCAATACGTAATTGGTTACTTCAGTGTCACCCAGATGTAATGGCTTCAGGTAAACAAAAATTAAGCAGCATCCATCCCATTAGAACAGATTCAAAGCAGACGAAAAGTCCATCTGGAATCTAAACCAGGCAACAAAAAGGTAAGCAGATCACAGGAAGTACTCCAGAAAAGGCATCACATTACTTTCGGTGGTACCTCCAGCTACTTTGCTTCCTCCAGTAAGCGTTTTTAAGCACCTATATAAAAAGCAGAAATTCAGTACCACTTCTAAGACCAATTTTGGGTGCGTGGAAAAAGTTGTGGGCTTATGGAAATACGCACGCACAGACGGCTCTGCCAGCATGCCAAGCGGCAGGGCAACAACTCCGAAGAGCTGCCCACAATCCTAAGCACATATCGCGGGTGGCGATCTATGAAGCCTTCAGTCAGGAATTCGGTTTTTCCTTAAAGGGCCGGGTAGGCAAGCAGGCAGGCAGGCGAGCCAAACCGACGAGCCGCTGCCTTCTCCCGCCCAATTTAGCTCAACAGGGTCCCGCCTGTCTGTGTCCAGGCAGGGCAGTACACAGTGACTCACGTCATGCTCGTTCAGCCGAGAGCACACATGGCGCAATATTAGGCGAGGGGATTGGGACAGACTCGGCCGCACCCAAAGGCCCTGAGCACAGCCTGACTGGGGGGGGGGGGGGGGGAGCCGGCCGGCCTAAGGTTTTTAAGAGGCCCGGAGGGTCGCCTTCAACTGCCCGCTGCGCTGACCGGGACCGTGCCAATATCCCCTTTCCGAACACTCGCCGCGAACCTAGGAGGGGGGCGGTCGTGCGAACGCAACCACCGCCCCACCTCCTTTCCCCAACCGGACGCTTTTCGACACGTGCTGGATTGCCGTTTGCAAGAGCGGGAAGGGGGAGGGAGGTGTAATCTAACGCAGCTCGAAAGGAACCGGGCCCGCCCCGTCGGATTGCTGGTAAATCGCATGGAAGGCATCCCACGAGACGCCTGCACACATAACTCAAATGGAAACCGGACGGAGGGAGGGGGGGTAGAATTGATTAACCGACAGCGGGGTGGCGGGGGAGAGAGGAGGGAAGGCCGAGTCCGAAAAGCGGGGAACTCCACAGGCGCGCGCCGGTGAGTGGGATAAACCGCTCTCCACGCCCGTTCCCGGGTTATTGTTTTTTTTTGGCTTCGCTCCGGCCTGTTGCGCTCCCCCTTCCCTCTTAATTCCATATCCCACCCGCCCCTCCCGACTCCGCAGACTGAACCGGATAGCTTAACTCCTTCCTCCTCCGCTCCCTTTCCAGCACCGCCCTCTTTGTAACTCTTTCCCTCGGTTTAAAAAGAAAAAAAAAAAAAGTTTCCTTCTCTCGCGCTAGGGCGTTTCCCGCTCGGCTCTCCGGAGTTTTCAAAGGCCCAACTTCGCCCTCGCGGTAAACAAAACTTGACAGAGCTTGGGGACTTCGGGGGGCGGGGGATATCGGCCCGAAAAGCAACCGCTTTCCCCCCTCAGTTCTCCTGCCCCGCGCGGCGGGGAGCTTCCCCCAAGAGCGGTTCCTGACCCCCCCCTCCCCAAAAAAAGGCCCGTCCGGCCAGCTGCTGCGGCTTGGTTTTTCCACCTTAGTGGGAAAAAAAACGTGTTTTTTTTGTGAGGGGTGGGAGAAGGAAGCAAAACGCAAACGCTCCTGGGCAGCCCGGATGGGGCATTTTAAACGAGATTCTCTCTGGAACCCCTGGAAGAAACTTCCCGCCTCCCACATTGGCGGGCGAAGCTGAAGGGGCCACACGCAACGGCTCTTCTGCGGTTGGAGGGTGGCTTCTGTGCGGGAGATTTCCTTTCCCCGTTTTTAACCGCTTCCTCCTCGGTTGCCGCAGAAGCCCCGCCGTTTCTCACAAGGGGCTGGAAGACCAAACGCTTTAGGGCGTAAGGTTGTTGCGGTTGTGTATATGTGTGTGTGTCAATATGCCGACTCTAAACCGCTTAGAGAAGGCTGTAAAGCACCGTGAAGCGGTATAAAAGTGCGACTGCTATTTTCACGTGCTAAGGGCAAAGCAATGCCACCGCCCTCCCCCCCGAGGGGAGCGAAAATCCACTCAGTCCCCCAACTCAGGGGCGGCCGGCCGTCGAGTTTGCCCTCCCCCCCACCCCCATCCTTCTTGCCCCTCGCGGCTCGCTTCCCCACCCTTCTGCGTTTCCCCTCTTACTATTTCTGCGAAGAGTAACATGCCCCTTTGGGAGCGGATGAGGCTGGTAAATTGGTCCATGCACCCCTTGGAGGAACCGGACGACTCCATGGCAACGGCGGGATGCCCCTCTTTCGAAGGGGGGGACAAACGTCGAGTCGCTCTCTCTTTCTCTTGCGACTCCGGCAAACCAGGCTCCCGTTCGCGGAGCTGGGCGAGGGCGGGGAAGCCTGTGGGCGAGGTGTGGCTGCTGTCGAGCTGGGCACGGCTCGGGGTTGGGTTTTTTTTTTACACAGCCGCGGCTCCTTTAAGGACAGCCGGAGACGGGAAGGCGGGCTGGCACTTAGTGAAAAGGCAAACCGAGGGCAGGAAAGAAGCGGCGGGGCGTGGAGTTACTGGCAGGATCACGGTTCGAAAACTCTGGTTTTTGCGGCTTCCTCTGAATCCCTTTTGGAGAGCTTCTAGCTGCGAGGTCCCAGGTTTTGTAGGTGCATTTACTTTCCTTAGGAGACCTCCCCAATCCCCGATCCTGTTCCCACCTCTCAGGCACAGGTTAATTGCACGTGTGGATGAAACATCTAACAGGTTGAATGCTGTGTATTGCTCAGCTTTTAACCTCAGAAAAGGGAGAGTGACGATTTATGTGCGATTTATGTTGCTAACTTTTTTTCCCACAGGCAGGACATCTATGCATTTAAGAGAGTGGCAAGCTGAAATTCCACAGATGCTGCCCCAGTTTAAGGGATGTGCATTGGCCAAGATGTCTCCAGCCTTCCCCTGACCAGCTAACTCTCTCTACTTTTCACCCTTTTGGCCCTTTCATTCCAGCATCTTTTCTTTTGCTTTCTGTAAATTCTGTGAATAAATTGGGGTGTGTCTTGAAAGCAATCCTGTGGAGCATTTTGATTTCTATCAAGTTTCAGAAGACAGTAAGACAGAAATTCTGCTAAGAAAAATTACACTGCTTCCACATAGTTTGAATTCCACACATTCAAACTGAATCACACCACTGACCAAAACTTGTTAACTTGTTGAGGTTAACTTTGGAGATCCTCCTGTATATAAAAGATAATTGATTGCCTGTGTTTTCTGTTTTAATACCAGGTATTTGATACCAGCCATTGCCAGGTAGGGCTGAATGAAAATGTACTCAGGAATTTGCTGCCAATCACTAGTGGTGAAATTGCTGGGGTTTTTTTTGCACAGTATATTTGTTTGTGGCTTGGGATGCTGTTTGAATCATGACTTGGACTTGTGTCATACAGTGGCTTAGAAAAATAAGTCAAATATTAAGCAACCTATGAGTTGTTATGTTGGGAAAACAGACCTTATACTGTAAGGCACTTCTGAATCTTCCTATGATCACTGCTGGGGTGTGGGAGAGAAATCTGAGAAAGAAAACTAGACTTTTTAAAAAAACCTTAGCTATTGACAAAGTTGGATTTAGTCATTAACTAAACAAGCTACAGCTTAAGGACTCAGACTGAAAGAGTCTTTGGAATTTCTGATTTGTCTTTCTCATCTGATGCTATAGTTTTATGGTTTCATTTATAAAAGTCTCCCTAAATGAAGCTTTTCTATGTGGCTCACATAATCCTTATCAATTGATTAAGATAAGCTATGTTTCTGTGTGCATTCACACCTATTCAAATTGGGCCCTTTTCCATCCTATCACAGTTTGTATTGCATTTTGGTGGCCTTCTTGCCAAGTTCAGCCAACAGAATTCTCTACTGGCTCTTGTCAAATGAAGCCTCTATATCTATAACTTCTCGTAGCTTAAAGTCTCATAGTGTTAACTGGTCCTTCTGCCCTGGCAGTTTCCTCTGCTTATCTATTTAAATTCATGTTTATTCCTGTTTCAAACAATGGCCAATACAAGGTAACAAGATAAAAGGTCCTTTGAGATGAGGTCCTTAGTTCCTAATAACTTCATTTTACTGGCAGCTAAATGGAAATAATTTACTATTGCATTTGTATGATTTTTTTTGTACTCTGCAGCCTAGACTGACCTATCCTAGTCCTGAAATTACTTGGTGACCTCCCATCCATTCAGTGTAAGCAGATTCAGATAAAGAAAAAGACAATCATATTTGGAACAGAGGTGTCAGAATTTGATTACTTGAAGATTTTCCCTGTATTTTGACAGATTAGGGAAAGGGAGAACTCTATTAAAAGCAGGAGTGTCCAACCTTGGCAACTGTAAGATTTGTGGGCTTCAGCTACCAGAATTCCCCAACCAGCCATGCTGTCTGTGGAATTCTAAGGAGTCTTAAAGTTGCCAAGCTTAGACATTCCTCATTTAAAGCATCTCCACAAAAGCAGAGCTTCTTTGAATCTGGCTGTCAATTCTATATTCTCCATCCTAGAAACCTCACTAAATTTGGCTGAAAGCTTTGAAAAGTGTCATTGCTGCTCAAAGGTCCAAATTCCCAGTGCTCAGAAGCCACCCTAAAAAAGAGAGATTGGCAGTGACTTCTATCTTGGGTCTCATCTCTAACAGCTCTTCCTCCACCCCACCCTTCGTTTGCTTGCTTGCAGTGCCATTCTCCCTGATCTGTTTCCTTTACCCTATCACAGCAAGTTTTTTTTAAACCAACCATCTGGGTTTTTTTTAAGTAAACATTATTTGAGAAATTACCAATATTCAATAGGCTGCATATATTGACATACTCAAAAGTTTAGGAAAACACAGTGCATGTAACATGATCATACGTAGGTTTCTTTTAGCATGCTATGATTGTCAATGTTATAATTAGGTTCTATAACAGTTCCTTTGGCAACTGCCTGTTGGCAGATATTAATATTATTTGATGATGGGAGGATATATTTTTTCCAGGTGTCAAGTTCTTGCTGTTTAATATAGATAACAGGTCTTGATAGAGGCTTCTACCTGTTGGTATTTAACATCCAATCTAATCAAATAGGGTGGAGAGGTTTGACAATTGCCTGGCTTAACTTTCTCTCCTTGGACTGCAAACTAAAAGCAGTATGTGGCTTAAAGAAGATTTTAGCATCACCCATTTGTGAAGGCTGTGCAAAGTTTCATTGGAAGGAGATTTCACTACATTGAATAAAGCTGTCTGTTCAATCCTAGAATCCAGGAAAGCCCTAACTTGGAGCCTTGCCTTTGTTTAGCCTTTGCTCCTCAACTTGTAGCTAGGACGAAGGATTGTTACCCAACACAGAATTAAGTGTCTATTTAAGATTATTTGATTTCAGCATTAGACTGCAGCCAGTTTGACTAATTGTCTGTGGCAGAAGCAAAACAAACACTAGTTTGTCAGTTTGTAATTATTGTTATTTTTTAAAAAAACATTGACAGTCGAGATTATAGAAGTCTCAGTGGAATTCATCTATTGAGAAAGACTGATGTAGTCCTTTGATGTGGGTTTTGTCAAGCTTCCTCTTGCCTTATCCATCTGTTTCTTGGCAACTGATGGGCTATCTTTTCTAACGTGCTTTTAAAAGTCTCCTGTGACACTTACATTATACAGGCAGACTTTTCCATACAATTTTATCTTTGTTCCAGCAAAACCTCCAGCTGCTTAATCTCTGTGTATTATACTGGTAGCTGTTCTTATAATCAGATGAGCAGGAACAGAGAAATAGATGGCAATTGAAGTACAGTTTTAAACTCTGAAGTACATTCTCTGAAATAATAATAAGGCTCCTCTATTCCTTGGGAAGCTGCTTGTCTGTAAGATATATGCCAGCTTCTCTTCACCATCAACAAGAAAACATACCTGGCATTTTGTTTTATTTTGATCCTGTCTTGGACTATTGTACAGTACCAGATTTGGGCTAACAAACATTTGGATGACCACAAGAGGGCATCAAAGAATCAGGTTTTCTGTATTTCCTTTTTGTCCTCTAGTGATATCCCAACACTGATAGTCTAGATGTGGTTGTCCTACTTACACAAAGAGAAAAAGAATAAGTCAGCCACAATCATTTGTGAAGTGATATGCATAGGCATGTTTCTAGGGGAGTAAGATCATGGCATAGGAATATATACAACGCCTGCATTAAAAGTATGGATATAATGGCTGGTTGAAAAAACTGCCCAAGAGGACATCTGTGTAAGAATGAAAGAATTTGTAATGTCGGAGAATGTGCTTTTTATGATGTCTTCTCCAAAGGTCATTGTGCAGCTCATGTTGGCTGAAACTTCTCAGAGTTGTAGTTCCATGAGCCAGAAGGTTTGGGAAGACTCTCTTCAGAGCTGTCCCACATAAGGGAAATTAAGGTTATTTATTCCCTTCAGTCAAGGGGACCTTAACTTCTTATTCATCACACTGGTTGGGATCCCTGTCTGGTCATATTACAGCAGATAGGCACAGAACTGCAAAAGCTGACCAGAGGGCTTCAGGCATACACCACATCCTGATTCCACCCCCCACCCCCCCATCCCCGCCTGTTCCCTGCAGTAGTGAAAGACAAGAGAGTTCTGACAGGTGGTGGAGGAGTATGGTTAGCAGAGGACTGATTCAGTCATGTTCTTTACCTGGAATGTAGTGCCAAACCATGCAATGGGGCAGCAACATCTTATGATCTGAGAGTTGCAGTCCCCCTTTGAGTGTAGTGCTAAAGAATCACATTCCCCAAAAGTGGAAAGGACAGATGAAAAAAATAAATAAAAGCAGAGCTGAGTCCAGAAATACCACCATGAAATTCCAGATTTGGTGCTTCCAAGGCATACATTAAATGTGTTGTGATAGTTTGTAAAAGCATTCTGGGAAAGCCATAGCATAGTGTAGCACAATATATGAACCCAGTGATTGGTTTGTGCATTACAGGCAGTATTACATGATAAGATGTAGAGAACTTTAGAATGGTTTAATATCAGAACAGAACAGAACGCAGTAGAATAGAGTAGCTTTATTGTCCAAGTGTGATTAGACCACAAGGAATTAGTCTCCAGGGCAGTAGCTCTAGGTGTACAAGCAAAGCAACAGAATCATCATCATCATCACACCAGTGAGAGGGCAGGATAAAGAAGATAAGAAGTGGTAATATTACAGCCATACTACTGTATATAGGCAGCACTGTGAGAATTAGGCATTCAGCAGACAGATGGCGTGAGGGGAAAAACTGTCCCTGTGTCTACTTGTTTTGGCATGCGGTGCCCTGTAGAGCCACCCCAAGGGAAGGGCTGAAAGAGTTTATGTCCAGGATGTTAGGGATCTGTAGATATTTTCTCAGCCCTCTTTCTAACCCATGCAATATACTGTATAGATCTATTATTGTGAAGGCAGGCTGGTTGT